TATTGATGAAATTTTCCTAGACTTCAGCTCATGAGAGATGTTTGAACTCATTCGCGGTGGGAAGAGGAGCGATCGTTGCCTTGGCTAACTTCAATTGAGCATTTGGCATTTGTGTTTCTCATTTTATTTGAAATTTGGTGGATGAAGGCCTCAATTTTTTTCACCTCCAAAAGCAAATTGGAGGGTATTCAAGTCGAAAGTGTGGTCAATGGCTACTAGGGTGACCACCTTCTAAATATTGCACTCCACTTAGGTTTCCACCTCCTTTAGAACAATGGACAGTGGGAAGATGGATCACGTGGCAGAGTAGCCACCTCAGTAATCACCCTCTTCCTCTATGAAGGGAGGCACTCAGTTTAAGCAGGCACAAGGGGCGCTCTCGATTGTCTCCTCTAGTCCGTAAACCCTTTCTTTTGTTTTATGAAGATTTACTAAACTTTAGTACGGGCTAAGATTTCCAGTGGTAATTTTTATTTGGATTTATTTATTCCGAATATGATGGATGATCCAACAGTTCCCACAAGAATGTTTGATTGAGGAAACACCATCCCCCTTAATTTTAGTGACTTGTGTTGAATTCAATCCAGCAGGTCTCATGTGCATAACTTGTAGTAATGAAGTCGCAGCTACCCCTGCATTCAATCTCACACCATACCTGGTGCCATCTAGCTATAAGCACTAGCTTGCGTGATTCTTACATCTCTGCCTACTGTTTCCTATGTGCTGCTTTCAAGTGACCATGGTGGAGCCTTCTATAGGCTGATAACTGATTACACCTCTAGAAATTATGCCCCAACTTTTAATCTACATGTCACAGGTTTCCTAATGTAGAATCAATTTGAAATATTGCATATATCACATTTTTTTTTATTCATTAGGTGTAATTTTTTTTCTATTTTTTTCTTTGTTAAGGCTGGTTATGGCTGATTTTAGCTTATGTTTTATTTTAAAATTTAGGCCTATCAATTGGGATTTGGTTCTCTTATAGATGTTGTACATATTCTATCCATATGAGTTAGAAAATATTTAGTATTCTTCTCTCATAATTTTCAACATGATATCAGAGTTTGTTTTTCCCATCTTTTATCTTTTTGTATTCTTTTTCTTTCATGCTTATCTATTTTCTACATCTGCAATTCTGAACATTCCTTATTTTTTTTAAGCATTGTTTTGTTTGAATTGAGATGATGGCGTAATGCTAAATGACTGCGGAAAGAAAATTCTCCTTTGATGCGCCTTTTCCCATAAATCAAGTTCCCATGACAACTATGGTATCCATAAAATTTTCTCCAAATCAGTGATGATCCTACTTAAACAAAACCTTCTTGCACCAAAAATCATCATTAATGAGTTTGCTCAAAAAAGGTATAATCTTAAATGGATTTTATGTACAAAACAAGAATCCAAAATATTAGATTGTAGATTTTGGAGCTTTTGGTCTTTTATGATGAGGGTGGCCTATTATTTCGAGTTTGTTATCGATATTTAAAGTATTATATTGTTAAAATTTTTGATGGGTCAATGTTACTGCTAATTGGCATTGGGACCATCATTATCACAAGCTCTTTAGTTTTTAACTTAGTTTTCTTGATTCTTAAAGCTTTTCTTCAATTTGCTTTCAATTTGCAAAATTTTCATTGATATGTACTATATTACTACTAGTTGTGAAGTTTAGGATTGGTTTTTGGGAAGGATAATTTGCAAGGCAAAAAGAAAAAAGGCCAATCCTTTGAAAATTATGGAGGGAATACTAAAATTCAAGTTAGAAGCGCCTTTAATATCTTTCTCAATCGAAAATATATTCATTTAGTGGAACTTTCGCCTTGGTCATCCAAATTTCATGTACTTAAAAAATAATTTTCATTCCTTTTTATCAACATAATTTTAAAAGATATTCAATGTGATATCTGCGTACTTATCTATACGCACTTGAACTTCTACCTAGTTATCCTTGTAATTCCTCCCGATCTTTTGTAGCTATCCCTAAATGTTAGATAATTTATATCATTCAATGAGGATCACACAAGAACCAACTGGATTTTTCTAACAATAGATAAGTTAAACATTGGTTTTGTTTTTCCATAAATATATATCTTTCATAAAATCTGAATTCATAATTAAAGTTTTAAGTCCTAATGATTGGTAATTAAAAAAGTGTTTTTATTTGTTTTTAGAGACATCTCCAACAAAGAGTATTTTTATCAAACATCTTATATTCTTACTCCACAAAATATGATAGTTGAAAGAAAAAATAAACATCATTTGCATCTTCTAAAGCTTGCTTGATCAATCATGATTACTAATAATGTCCCAACTGCTATTGAGGAGATTACTACCCTCACCATTGTATATCTTTTAATTCATATACATGAAGAATTTTAAAATTTGAAATCCTTGTCAAACCTTTAACCTTACCTATCTTATATATAATCTAAAATTTATAATTCTTTTCATATTGTTTGATTGTTCTACCTTTGTCTATTTTCGTCGTTAACAAAGAGGTAATTAGACCGAAAAGTGATATAATAAATTTTTATTAGCTACTCTTTTTGCCAACACAGATGCATGTCAATACTAGAAATTACTACACTACCATGGATGTAACTTTTTTTTTATGTTCAATTCTTCTCCCCAATTGGGGGAGAACATCAGTTGTCATTTGAATGAGTTTTATGAGAATTTTAATCCTACTTTATTAGTATTGTATTCGACATCTCTTCTATATCTACTTGAATCTCCCAATACTAGAAATCACATGCTATGAGTAAGATACATGGAGATTGTCTATTTCATTTAACAGGACAATTTAATTGATAAGGTAGAACACAAAATTTTTTTAGAACTAAACCTCATGTTTGATTTTGAGGATGATTTTAACATGCTACTGCCACAATTAGGAAAAGCATAAGAAATTGCTTTAATCTTTCTATCAATCATTCTATTTTCTATGGAAAACTTTCTCCAAAGTCTTATGCATTTAGTTTTAAGTTTTTGATGTGTAGAAATTTCAAAGAACATTAAAGAAGCATCAAGCCTTTGTTCGAAAAAATGTTGTTCATTAAGTTATTTTGGCCCTTAATGAAATTATATATGGAATCTGTCAAATCTTCTCGAATAGAAGAAACTTATAAAAATAGATTATTTTTATGAAATGTAGAGTCGAGGGAAGCATCGACAGATAAAAATCAAGATTATTTGGAAAAGAGTTTATTTGAACATTTGGAATTGACAACGAAAAGTTTTTTTTTTTTATGAGTTGCTAACATTTGGAATTGACAACGAAAAGTTTTTTTTTTTTTATGAGTTGCTAAAATGAACAACTTAAGTTGTAGGCTCAAGAAATCTATCAATGGTGTAAAGCAATCGCTAAGAGCATGGTTTGATATATTCATCATGATGATTAAATATGTGTACTTCCAAGGACAGTTTGACCCTATTTTATTTACCAAAAAATCATTTGAATGTAAATGTTCCATCTTGATGATGATATCATTTTAAGAGAAAGTCATTAAGAAGAAATAAAGAAGTTTGAAAGGTGTTTTCGCTTAAGAATTTGAAATAAGGGACTTTAGGTCATTAAATATAACTTGGGCATCAATATAATAAAATCAAGCAAAGGGATATTCGTCTTGCAATAAAAATACACCTTGAACTTATTAAAGGAAATTAATATGATTAGTTGCAAACCTACAATCACACCCTAAACCCTAAAGACAATATATTTTCACAATTGATAACAAAAAGTATTAGGTCATTATAAAAACTAATTAATTTATCTCATGCTAGATCTTTTATCTCCCTTCCCTATAGTATTGTTAGTTTATGGAGAGTACTACATAGGAGCAATTTGATTCTTTGTATTGGATATTAATATATCTTAAAGGAAAAGGGAAGTTCTTCAAAAAAGGAATTTACACATGCATAGAAATTTTTATTGATGTAGATTGGGTTGTATCTGTAATTGATCGTTGTTCTACATCAAGTTGTTGCTTATTCGTATGGGAAAATTTAGCTACATAGGGAAGAAAAAAATAGTCTGTTATTGCTTTTTGTAGTCTTGAAGCAAAATTCAGGATCACATCCTATGATACTTGTAAAGATTTGTGGCTTAAATGCCTTAAAAAAGAACTAAAATTTTCACTACAAAACTTATACTGATGAGGTATGACAATCAAGCTAATATTAGTATTGTTAAGAACCCAGTACATCAGGATTTGACTAAGCATGCTGAAGTGATCCAAGGATTCTTCTAAATGAATCACACTCCAACAAAACTCTTCGTTATTGACATCTCTATCAAAGCTCTTGATCAATCTCCATTTGTAAAACATACTTTGTCTAGCTTGAGTGGACGTGAGGAAATACTCAATTCAATCTAGAAGAGCTCTTGCCGCCTTCTTGTAGTTGCCAACCTCTAGTGCCCTGCATTCAATCCTTTATTATCCTTGAAACCAGCTAGCAGCAACAGCTAGCTTGCTCAGCTTATCACTGTGCCCATCGCTTTTTCTCGTTCTCCGCTTGTATACAAGCTGCCAGGGGTGGGACATTCCTTCTGTGGCTCAATAGCTGCACACACCTTCAAAAATTCTGCCATAGCTGCCATCTACATGCCATGGTTTATAGAATTAATTTTAAATATAGCATTCATTACATTATTTTAATTCATTAGGTATAATTTCCATTTATTCCCTTTGAGCTGTTTATGGTAGATTTTAGCTCTGTTTATTTCTGATTCTGGGCCTCACCAATTTGACTATATTTTTCCGATAAATATTATGCATCTTCTACCTGTGTAAATAATAAATATATTTTTCTTCTCTCATATTTTGCAGCTAAATTATCTAAAATTGTGGCAAGCATATGATTCTTGTAATATGAATTTTTTACTTTTTATTTTTATCTGTAAGCAGCATTCCTTATGATTTCTTTGGAATTTTGATCTTTTATATCTAATTGTTTACCAGCACGTTGAATGAATGTGTTCTCTGGTGCTTTTGCAGAATCCTCTTAAAATTAGTTCCTCCACGAGGCGAGCAACGCTATATCCTCCACCTTTGCCACGACCAAAGGAAACTACTGCAAGGTCTTCTGTTGCTAAAGTTTTATCAGATAAACATTCTGGCGATTTCAAGCTACCAGATTTTGTCCAGGAAAATGTATTGGTTTGTGATGTTTGTTGGCGGACTGAAACGATAGTGAACCGTATTTTTGTTTGTTCTAGCTGCAAGGTGATGTACATTGAATTTGATTCATGTTTGCTTATTCATTTCTATTTCCCCTTTAGTATTGATTGTTATAGACACACTAGCAGCTTGCGGTTCACTTGGATTGCTATCGCAAGCTTAAAGATCCTACTGGTCCATGGCTATGTGAGCTTTGTGAAGATACCGCCTTACAATCAAATCCTAGAGATCAACAATTGGGCAGTGGTGAAAAGACTTGTTCTAGAGCCAAGTGTAGTTTATGCGGTGGTGTGACTGGTGCATTCCGCAAATCAACAAATGGAGAATGGGTTCATGCCTTCTGTGCTGAGGTATTTCAAGTCATTTCTTTTTATCGCTTCTGTCATTCTCATTTCTCTAATTGTTAGCATGTCATTATTCTTAATGATATTCTTTTTCTGGAGTTTTCATGCACATATCTTCTTGTAGTGGTTGATGGAATCAACATTCAAAAGGGGCCAGCAAAATCTGATCGTGGGAATGGTGATCATTTTGTGCTACGTCCCAATTTCTTAATAATTCTTCCTTTATTCTATCATCTTGCATAAATTTTATCAATCATGACCTATACTGTTTGATCATGCTTTTCAGGATTCTATCTCCAAGGAAAAGGACATAAATACTTGCGGTATATGTCATTACAAACTTGGTCTGTGCCTTAAGGTTTGTAATCTTTGTGAATCTTACGTAAACTGATGGTTTAATCATACCGACTTGCTCATTTTTTTTCTTTTTTTATTTTTTCTTTCTATGCAGTGCAGCTATGGACATTGCCAAGCTAAATTTCATCCAACCTGTGCTAGAAGTGCTGGCTTATTCATGAACATAAAAGCTATTGGTGGCAGGTTCCAGCACAAGTCTTATTGTGAAAAGCATAGCGTGGAGCAGAGAGAAAAGGTGCCTCACCAACCCTTATCTTTATTTTATTTTTTTTATGTAATTTATTAATATCATTTTTATACATAATTCCAAAAAAAAAAGTCACAAGAATACCATGTTGTACATCACCGATGTGCTGTACACTGCCTTGTTTATTTACCTTACTATCTTTCTCATCTGTATCTCTAGGTTGATAGTCAGCATGGCGCTGAGGAGCTTAAGAATATAAAGCAAGTGAGGGTAAGTCTGATCTCATCGCTCCCTCTCCCACAAAACACCCAGGCTTGTTTCTCTCTTATATTGAAGCAGTACTCAGTATAAAAATCACTTGCGAGTTATTGATGGCTGGTTTTAGAAGAGGATACTAATTTGTATGCTATGCTATAATTACTTTCTGGGGCATTTACATACATACCACCCAATTCTTATATTTACATATCTAAAACCTATACTTTGCTTTTTACATTTGTACCACCTAAATCATTTATATTGCTACATCAAAAGTACCACTATTTTAACTATTAAAAACTGAAATGCATTTTTCATGTATGGGTAAGGTGGCATATATGAAAAAATTGAAGCTTAAGTTTTAGATATGTAAATACTTTATAATTGACTGGTATCTATGTAATTTTTCTTTAATTGGAAATGTCAATGTATCTTGTTTGCCATTCCTTTCTATTTGAAATGATTAAAGCGCTTCATATGGAATTGTCATGCACCTTTCTTAAACATTGCGGTGTTTTTAGTTAGCAATTCATACAGTTAGGAATGAATCAAGGCAATAAATCTTATTTGATGTCACCGAGGAAAATTTTATTTCTGAAAAATTAGTTGCATTTACTTTTTTATGTAGTCACATTCCTCAAAATAAATTCAATTTGAGGTGTTGCAAATGTTTTTTTGTACTATTTTTTAACTTGTACATTCTCTAAATTTGCCATTGAAATTATTCTGTATGATGGATATCTTCATATATGTTTACTTAACATTGAAATTCTTTTACAGGTTGACCTAGAGAAGTTACGTCTTCTTTGTGAGAGAATTATTAGAAGGGAGAAATTGAAGGTACACTTGTGTAATGTTGTAGTTTTTGCTGCAGAAATTAACAGCTCTTTGCTGAATGGTTTTGCTTTTCCAGGCATGGCCTTTCTTGAATTTGTTAGCCAAATGGTGCATTTGTAGGCCGTTATTTATCAACTATTTATTGTGATTTAAGATAGAAAATATCTGTGAAGAGTTGTTAGGGCCTGTTCCTTTTTTTTATTTTAGTTTCTCTTTGTTGTTTCTTACTGAAGTTGTAAATTTGACATACAAAACATGTTTGTCTATTGATTTGGTTTTTGCTTTAATAACCGATTTTAGTTGTCTTATATTTCTCCGCTTGTAAGTTAATTCAAGCTTAATCCATTTAGCGAATTTTCTTAAACTTACTGTCTATGCTCGATTGTAGGTAGTATTCATAAGCCTGCTTCATTAAATGCACCCTAAAAAAAACTGTTAATACCTGCTACAGATAATGGCCAAGTTGCTTACCCTGGTGATTGATCTTGAAAGTACATAACATTTGTCATAATATTGTAGTAAATTTTGTGGATAATGCTAAAAACTATTGTCGTACAAATTAAAAAAGTAGTATTTGATCATGAGGATCTTAAACCCATTATCATGGTTTATTTTTTAATTTAGATGAAAAAATAAGGAAATTCATTGTTAGATCTTGCTGGTATTAATTAGAAAAATGGTGGTTTTTAATAACTTTAAAGGTTAGTAGGTGTTTTATGCAAGATTGTTTAGTTATGAAACTATTGTTTTTATTGTACATACTTAAAAGCTTTCTAATGAGGTTGAAGTTGAGGTTATTGCCCAAACCGAGTGTCAGTGTTTTGAGTGAATAGACAAAATGTCTTTTTCCTTTGCTTTCATTCTGATAAATAATAGTATATACAATTTATTTTAGGTACATAATAATCTGTATAATTTATTTTAGGTAGTTTAATAATACATATTCCTAATCTAAATATTCAAGTAAAAGAAAATGATCCGTAAAATAAAAGTAAGGAATTTAATCGAACAATTGAAAGAACAAACTCTTAATTCTGCCCGATTTCATTTATTCTTGATTGACTTCCTTTCTCAAATTGATGCTGACTGATCAAGAAGCATCAATTTGTGACGCTGCCGAGAAACAATCTTAGAAAATATATTAGCTGTTTGAAGAGCAGAAGAGATATGAGAAAAAGAAATAACACCATTATCATTGACTTCTCAAATAGAATGATAGTCGACTTCAATGTGTTTCGTGTGCTCATGAAAGACATGATTAGGAAAACCAAGCTCAGCCAACAAGCTCCGAAGCCAAATGATCTCAGAACAAATAGAGGACATATCACGATATTCAGACTTCCGCTTGAGTTGCCAATGTTTTTTCTTCGCACAGTAATTCACCGAAACATACATCCAAACAAGGAACTGGATCTCTATTCAGCAACCCAGCTCGAGCAGTTTTAAATTTAGGCATGAGCTTCATTAAAAACTGATCGCGACGACTCACTTCATGAATAGTTTGAAGACAAGCTAAGCTCTCTTTTGACATTTTAGCATTAAAAATATCAAAATATTCGCTCCATAAATTTAAAAAGCCAGAATAATATTATTCAATTGAGAGATTATCTTAACTATAATTACTCGTATTAAGTTCCAATTGAAAGCGTCTTGCAGTATTATTTTGATTGTAGACGCGCTATAAGTATTCCCACATTTCTTTAGCCATGCCAAAGGATCATAAATTGTTTAACATATGAGCCTCAATAGGTCCCAAAATCCAACAAACAATTCGAGCATCCTTTGCCTCCCATTGACCAAGATCTTTCGGCTCTGTAATTGCTGGAGAAGACCCATCAATATGACCCCGAAGCTCCTTCCCTTTCAAAAACATCTTGAGCTAAAATCCTCATGCGGCATAATCCTTTCTCGTAAATCTGATAGCTATGATTTAGGAAAACATTCTAAATAGAACTGTCACTCACAAGTTGATTATCAAGAAAGTCATTGATCAAAATCCACGTGAATAGGGACGAGTGATTGTGGCGGTACACGAAGGACAAAGATTGGATGACCTTAGCTATAATTACTCTTGTAAATGATTCAAAACCACATTATTTGGATGACCTAATCGTCTATGTCAGGCGCCAACTTTATTTTCAACAACTGAAGAAACTAATGACAAAGTTCGAGGGATGTAAATTTATAATGGAAATAACTTGCCCACTTTTGACCCTTTAGTTATCACCTTCCCCGACACCTGATCCTGTACAATAAAACCATCACGAGAAAAGTTTAGTCACGATTATTATCCATCATTTGATCAACAGAAAAAAAGTTCATATATAATTTAAGAGAAATCAATACATGTCAAAAAGAGAAGCTAATATCACTTACAACCGTAATTTTGAATATTATTTCCATCAGCAACTTGAATATGTTGAGTACCGGCATACAAAAATTGATTATGCAATAAATTAGATGTGCCAGTCATATGATTTGTGGTGCTGAAATTAACAAACGAAGGAGAAGGAATAGAAATAATAGTCTTACATTTTTCTTGAAGACTAAGAGCAAAAAAGACAGAGAATCATCTGTTGAACCATATCTTGTGAAAATAGATTGATTATTGCCGACAGTTGTAGATGTCGAAGAAGGATTGTGAGAGTCGGATACAGTAGCATTAAGAGCTTGTGGTTTGCGGTTTTGAGGTCGCGTAGGACACTCCTTAATAATTTGTTCTTTTTTCTTACAGTAATTACAAAATTTCTTGCTATATTAACCAGCAATATGTCTAAATGCTTTGCAACTGTAAAACTGCTTTGTTTCCATCTCTCGGATCTGAGCAACATATGCAACATTAACTATTTCTGATGACTACCATATGTACCGATAGCCGCTTGAGTTGTCAATCTTTGTTCTTCGTTCAGTAATTCACCGAAACATACATCTAAATAAGGAATTGAATCTCTATTCAGCAACCCGACTTGAGCAGTTTTAAATTTAGGCATGAGCTTCATCAAAAACTGATTGCGACGACTGACTTCATGAATAGCTTGAAGACAAGCAAGACAAGCTAAGCTCTCAGCTCTCTTTTGACATTTTAGCATAGATAATGCCAGAATATTCGTTCCATAAATTTAGAAAGTCAGAATAATATTGTTCAATTGAGAGATTACCTTAACTATAATTACTCATATTAAGTTCCAATTAAAAGTGTTTTGCAATATTATCTTCATTGTAGACGCGCTTCAAGTATTCCCACATTTCTTTAGCCGTGCCAAAGGATCGTAAATTGTTCAAGATATGAGCCTCAATATATCCCAAAATCCAACAAACAATTCAAGCATCCTTTGCCTCCCATCGACCAAGATCTTTCGGCTCTGTAGATGCTGTAGAAGACCCATCAATATGACCCTGAAGCTCCTTTTTCAAAAATATCTTGAGCTGAAATTCCTATGCGACCTAATTCTTTCCCGTAAATCTGATAGCTAAGATTTAGGAAAACATTTTAACTAGATCTGTCACTCACATGTTGATTACCAAGAAAGTTGTTGATCTAAATCCATGTGAATAGGGATGAGGCTGTGGCAGTGCACGAAGGACAAAGTCGTCGAAAATTCAAGACGAGGATCGAATCAGGTGAGCTCTGTGTGCAAACAAAACCAACGGAAGCAAAATGTAGAGACAAACAGATGAAGCGGTCGAAGACAGAGTAGACGAAGTAGAACGAAGACGGTGCAGGCGAAGTCAAGCAAAGGTTTAGACGAAGTAGACAGAGCAGGCGTAGCACACAGATCAAATCAATCAATAATCAGCCGAACAGGCGAAGCAGCCGATCAGGCGAAGCAGCCGAAGCAATCCAAAAGATTGAACAACCCGGTTAAGAGAACCAAACGAACAAACGAACCAGTCCAGACGAATAGACGAGCGGACAAGCAGTCTAGTCAAGGTGAGCTATTCAGACGAATAAGTCTAGACTCTCAGAGATTTGCAGTCGAAGATGGACGAACGATTCCAACGTTGAAGACACCAAAATTTCAGACCTGAACGATTCAACATGGCTTTGATATCATGTCAATGTTTTGAGTGAATAGGCTGAATGCCTTTTTTCTTTGCTTTCATTCCAATAAATAATATTCTGTACAATTTATTTTTGGTACATAGTAATCTGTATAATCTATTTTATGTAGCTTAATAATACATACTCCTAATCTAAATATTCAGCTAAAAGGAAATTATCCGTGCAATAAAAGCAAAGAATTTAATCGAGCAATTCAAAAAAGGAAACGCTTAATTCTGCCCGATTTCTCTTAATCTTGATTGATATTGAGTGGCATGAAGAGTTAGAATACTTTTCGACCTCATCATGCAATTTGCTCAACCCCATTTCAATGTGACTTGACCGCTAGTCGTATCATGCTCTGGGCCAAATAGTCAAGTAGATTCTTTGATAGTCATTATGATTGCCTATAGCATGCATACTAGGATAAATGCATTGTTCCATCATGTCTTGTGGCTGCAAAATATTGTCCGAACTTTTCACCTCAGAATAGGAAGAATGCATCATTTATTGGCTATTGCATTAACCAGCCACCAAGCTCCCTTCCCAAGATAGTAACGTCCTCAAGTTTTATCTATCAACCATTTAGCGAACATTTAGAACATTGGATTTATCCCTGAAGTTTCAAAATTAAAAATTGAAAATAAGGGAAAGAATAAAAATACGATGGGGAGTTGAAACCAGTTCAATCGCTCACCTATACTTGAGTTATTTGTATTTTGAATTGGGTCACATGTTATGGCCTGCCAAGGAGTTTCCTAATGAACTTAAAGCTTATTAAATTAACGGAAAATTAATTGTGAAGTGTACCATTTGAAACAGTAAACAAAATGTCAAAAAAATCAAAAAATTATGAACTAAGATTTAAAAATTGAAGTTTTAACTTTCATAGAATTTTTTTAAGTTATATATCAAGGCTTATCTTGGATGCATTTGATTATTTGATTGATGTCGAACTCATAGCTCTTGATTTCTTGATGAATTTGTGCTCTTGATGTTAATATTTTAGTGGGAACTTTATAACTGCCTTGATATTCTATGTCATTTGTTCACCTTTTACATGTTTCTGTTACATTGTAATTATTTTTTTCACCACCGCTTTACCTGTACTAAATTATTTCCTTTCCTTTGTTTGACATAAATTTAGCTTTTTGAACCCCAGCAACAGATTGCAATTGTCTTTGCTATTGGTCTTTTGATTTTAATTTACATTAAATGTTTTAATATTTTGATAAGAAACCATTTATATTTTATTTTTCTTGGATTCAGTTCAAACAAAAAATTGTTTGTTTCTACTTTATAGGCCTTGTACAACTTGAACAATTCACGTGTGTTTCTAATTTTTTTTTTTT